CTTCTTCTTCTTCTTCTTCTTCTTCTTCTTCTTCTTCTTCTTCTTTCTTCTGCTGCTGTTGGTGCTGCTACGAAACTTCAGTTCATGAAATGATTTCCATAAATATGTTTATCAGATTATTTAAAAATAAATTATAAATAATTACGTAAGTTAGTAGACAATAATTTAGTAGACAATGATAATTCTGTTCTTTTCACGTTTATTATTTCCAAAATTTATGATTTAGATATTGTTGGCAATCTGATTATTTATCTAGTATGTTAGAAAGCTTTTTCAAAAACTTCAGCTTATATAGTGCTGAAGTTTTTACAAATGAACAAAATAACTTCAGCTCTAGAGCTGAAGTTCGACAGTTACAAAACAAAAACTTCAGCTCTAGAGCTGAAGTTCGCCAGTTTCAAAACAAAAACTTCAGCTCTAGAGCTGAAGTTTGCCAGTTACAAAAACAAAAACTTCAGCTCTAGAGCTGAAGTTCGCCAGTTACAAAAATAAAAACTTCAGCTCTTCGCCAGTTAGAAAACAAAAACTTCAGCTTTATAGTTGAAGTTCGCCAGTTACAAAAACAAAAGCTTCAGCTCTAGAGCTGAAGTTCGCCAGTTACAAAAACAAAAACTTCAACATTACAAACAAAAACTTCAGCAAATAGAGAATAAAACTTCAGGTACTATGCTTAAGTTCAACAATTACAAACAAAAACTTCAGCACACTTGCTACTTCAGGCCCGTCTACTAGAAGGCTGAAGTTTTGCGTGATTGTCTTTGCTACTTCAGCCCCGTATGCTGAAGTTATGCGAAAAAGGGGGTACGCTTGCAATTTTTTTTGCAAAGCGGGCACAAGTTAAAACGTGACACAAAAAATGGGTATAGATGCAAATGGCCCGACATACTCTAAGTCTTTAGCATAGCCCCCTCTCCCACTCCCCACCCCATGGTACAATTTAGTCGATATAAATTCTGACACCGGTGAACTTTTTCCTTCCTATACCATATATGAAAGCTTATTACAAAAAATGTGCATAGTTTCATATTTACCCGCCATGTTCACAGTTATTCTACAAATATTATACCATTCATTAAATATCAATTATTAGGAGCTGATTCCTTCCTAATTAGGCGCGCTACAAATCTGGAACTAAATATTCTTCCAGATATTCCTATTTAGGCGCGCTACAATTATGGAAGTAAATATTTTTCCAGATATTTTATTAAATAAGGAATCATTGTAGCATTAAAATTCCTTATTTAGATAGCTGCAAAATTGAAATCTTTTTCAGTCCTCTGTTAATAACGACGGCAATTTTTATTCCTTGGTTGATCGAAAGGCCATTGCTGGCAAAAGCATATATAACCATATTTGTTAGAGTTATTTATACATGTGTTACTTTGTATTCTAATTGTAGATGCTTTGTTTTCAGTTTTCACAAATCAAAAACGACTAAAACTTCTACAAATCTTTTGCAAAAAATAGTCTACAATTTATCTACAATTGCTGCAATATAATGTATGTCATGTCTTCTTCTTCTTCGAGTTTTAATCTGAAATTCAGCCAAAACCAAGTCTAAATCTTCACCAAAATCCCTCAAAATTGAGATATAAACTCCAAAATATATTTCCAATTATTTACAACAACACCCAATCAAAATAAATAATGATTTTTGAAAACCCAAATTTGAATTCAAAGCTTCAAAGCTTTTTAATGGCTGTCAATGGTGGAATTGCCGCTCTCTTATCTCTTTGAAGGTTTGTTCTTCTTCATTGAGAAAATTTGAAGCAGAAGGTAAATGTGTGTATGAACTTTGAAGATTTGACTTCAATTTTGACTGATTTTAGAAGAAAAAGCTTGAAATTGGACGTTAATGGAAGGGTGTTACATATGTTTCTCTGGTTTTAACAGAGGGAATAATGGGTTTGAAACGTGGGTGTGGGGAGATACGGGGATGAGGGTGTGGGTTTGAGAGAAAGAAACGTGGGGGGTGGGGATTTGGAGGAATATACGGTAGCGTTAATTAAGGAGTGATATATGGTACATTAATTGTACAGTTAAAACACATTATGGTATATAATTGGTAATTAGGTATAGTAAATGTAATTAAATCAAACTTTAAACATTTAGAGTAATATAGTTTCCTATATGGAATAGGAATGTAAAAATTTCATAAAATAATAGGAATTGCGAGTAAACTTGTAACAATATCACATGCACACAAGAATTGAACCAACCTTAACTTTGCGACCTAATATCAATAATACCCTAAAGCAGGCAATGACAATAATGTGTCTTGTTTTTTCTCCACGAACAATAATAGTCTATGAACCCTCGGCTCAGGTCCAAATTAACAAAATTTAATCAATTAAAATGTGGTTACATCCCTCTGTTCCAATCCCTCTCGCGGATCTATTCTCTTCCTCCCATGTTTTGGCTCAAGTATATCTTTAATATATATATTAGACAAGCAATAAAAATGTGAAGTTAATAAACATATATTTTTTTATTGGAAAAAAAACAAGCATAATAGGTTTAACTAGAGGGGATTTCAGTCACTTATTTCCTAGTACAAATGAAAACATAAAATAAGTTGATAACTTAAATGAATACATTTATGAACCAAAAATTTACAAGTAATAGACAATACTTGAGGTCCTTACATGATTTCCGAAAAAAACAAAAAGAAGAAATAAAAAAGTTTCTTGCATACATAAGAAAATATTAAATAAGTGATTTCGGAGAGATCAAACCTTCTGTATAAGCAATTCCATCATGAACTCTAAAATATTTGGGCCAGAATCCAAATGGACCTGTGGATGTCCTAAGTGCAGTATGTCCAAATGTAACCATACGGTTGGTCCAAGGTGCACTTGCTAAAGTCTCAAATAAATATAGTAGCACTTCACCATTTGCAAATCTATGTTTCAATTTGCCATATACAATATTGCCGAGTCGTATGGTAAACAATACAATCCAAGATTCTTTGATACCATAGTCTTTCATTACCCACAACTTAAAAGTGCCCCATCCTTGATGTTTATGAGTAGAAGAAACGCAAACCATTCCTTCCACTAATAAAAGGCCATAATTAGACAACACATCTTCATTAGTTATGTGCATTTGCTCTAGCAAAGGTATCTCTCCGTACACCTCATTTGAAAAAATAAATGAAACCAAATGATAAGTTCTTGACATTGTCTTACCAAGCCAATGAAATGCTCCATGAACAAATACCATAGTATCCATATACCAATTTTCATTTCGATAAGGATAAATCGTAAGTTTCTGTCCCCACCTAGGGCAAATGGCAATGGTAGTTGGATAGTAACAAATCTTTCTCCAAGAACCACTTTTTAGCGAGAGAATTTCAATGGACTGTCCTCCTTTAAGCATGGTCCACTTAAGGAGCTTGTACCCATCACTTGTCACGTCATATCCCAATCCGAACATAGTACACAGACGTGTAAATTCGAAATGGGGAAGAAGTGTCGACTCTCTTGTGGAAGGGTTCCATAGAAAAAGTTGTTGATCAAATTTACTATAAAATCCGAGAACAACCAACCCATTGAAACAACAAAATAATTGGCACTCAAGTGGTTTGAAGGTTGAATGGCAATCGAGTTCTTGTACATACTTTGAAAAACAGTTGAGTTCTTGTGCATTCGATAAAGGAGAAGAATAGAAGCTAAATTTGATGGTGGGTTCCATATCAACACTTTCAAGCCATGACTGGCATACAAGAAGTTTGTGGTTATTCTTGGTGAGATGCTTCATCTTAAAGTAAGGATCAGAGATTAATGCAAGCCAAGATTTTGAAACACATTTGAACTGTAGAAGAGACCGTACGGATAACCTGCTGAGAATTTCCATAACTATATCGTCTTGGAATTGAATTCCAGTGGCCTACATATATAGGACAAGAGCAAGTGCTTTAGTAGTTCACAGGTTGAAACCATTAGTCTTTAGCGAAGTCGGAAATTTTGCTAAGGGTGTTCAAGATTTGATATACACATATAAGAAATAATTTTTGATCTATATATATATATATATATATATATATATACGTAATATAAGTTTCTATATACACAGTATATTTTTCGATGACGGGTGATCAGTTGACCATCCTTCAATCTATATGGCTACGCCATCGGGCGGGCGGCGCGCATATATATAAAACAAAAACATATGTTAATGAAGAAAGCTACAGCAACTAGATTAGAGTTCAACCAACAAGGGTTATAGTGGAGTGGTAAATACTCCTTCATCCTTAACCAGAGGTCTCGAGTTCGAACCAATATAGTCGGATTCCAATATGAATACTGATACAGGATAGAAAACCAAAAAAAAAAAAACAAAAAAAAAAGTATTAGAGTTCAAAACTCGATAAGTAACATAGTAAAATGAGAACTCACGTGAAGATTAGCTTTTTTTGTCATCTTGAAACTTCTCTATTTGTTCAATTTGAAAGATATGACTGCGAAAGGGCGGAGGCGGCTGGCTAGAGTTTTGAGAATGAAAATGTAAATGTCTCCTTTATAGATGGAATTTTTTTATCTTATTAGTTTTACCCCATTTTATTTAATTTCCTTCCATTATGGTCCCTCATTCGAATTAAGTTAGAATATTCTCAAGTTTAATACTAAGTGACAATTTATACTAAGTAAACAGTAAATTTGTTCGCGCTTCGCGCGATTATAAAGACATCAATAGTTTAGAAATAACATTTTTACAATTTCAGTCACGATAAAAAAATTAATATTTATCATTTGTATATAAAAATGATTCATATATAGTTAAAATCACAAACACAATTTTCTTTTAGAATATAAACTTAGACTAACCTCATTTTATCGAATTTTTTTTAAATAAGGGAAAATAGTTCGTAAGGAAACTTTTCACACAAACAGACATACATTACTTACATGTTTTTTGTGTATACATGATTCTCTGAGTCAAATTATATATTAGATACATGTTTATATATACCTAACCTTTTGTTTACTAAATAGTAAAGCTTTCTTAATAATAGAATTTTCTTTTAGCGAAATAAATGAAACATGAAATGGGAAAAAAAGACCAAAAAAGAAAATTAGAAAGTGAAGAAACTACAGATAGAAAGAGAGAGAAAAAATAAATAAATGGCAACCCAAGTTGCTCTATCTGTCCATTACCGGTTCTTATTCCTTTCTATCAAGTAGTATTATTTTTTCTTTAATAATCTTTTTCATTATTCTTCTGTTCTTTCCTTTTCAATTGTTTTTCCCCTCAATTCTTCGTGCCTTAAAGTAGCTCAAATTTTGATGTCTTGCTGCTTCTTTCGTTGTTCCATGTAATATTTTTATTATAATTTTACATCTACCTTGTAAATGGCGTTTCTTTCTGTCTCCGCTATTACAAGCACAAACCAATAATACGATTGTGCCAAGTAGTTATGTTGAAAAGTTTTAATTCTGAGTTTATTATATTTGGATAAATTAGCTTACCTGGGAGCATGAGAAATCCCGACAGTTCCAAGCTTGTGTTAGTTCCTTGGAATGCTTCTCTCACCCTCCAACACCTAAAATTATTTGGTAATTTATGTGACCTCAAAATTAATGGGCTAAAAAATAATAGCAAAATATTATCGCAATTTAAGTAATCGTACCTTGATTAACACTTGATGGTCTTGATATACTGTAAAAAGTCCGGCAATTTTTTGTTGGAGCATGAGCCTTTCTTGAAATTAATCTTTGCATAAGGCAGCCAACTATATGCCTCACTATTCAAACTCAATGCATTAATTTAAGCACAAGAAGTTTCCGCCAAAATAAGATTGAATGAAATAATTTTTTATGTTGAGTACATCAGATCAAAGATATAAGAAAAAGGCAAAAGAAAGAAAAATTTCAGAAATACGCCATGACTTTTTGATCGAAATCTTTGCCTCCCATGTGAGTTTATCCGTTCGTAATCATCAGAATCTCGGAAACACCTTAATATAGAACACCTAACATATATTGTTCTTCTTGTTGGACTTGATTAGATCACTGAATGAAAGTAAAATAGTTGGGGCATGTCGATCATTGGAGATCAAAATGAGATTGACTCAAACAGGACAACATGCTACAAAATTATAAATTTTTACCATGCAATTTAGTGCCTACAAATTAAATATTTGGTGGTTACGTAGTTGAAAAGTCACAACCTTAATGAAGAGTAAGTTTTATGTACACCTTCTAAAATTAGAAAATTAATTTTTGCGTTCATAATTAATTGCAACGGTTGAATTACATTGAATGGACTGGAACAGTTACATTGGATCCAACGGAAAGTTGTGACTTTTGAATTTCTAAACATAAATAACATTGAATTTAATAAAATGAAAAAATGAGAGAAAAGTCAAAAAAAGGAGAAAAAAGATAAGTGAGTTTCTTGGACAAATAGAGGTGCCACCTCAGCTTTTCAATTTCCTCTTTTATATATATATATATATATATATATATATATATATATGTTGGATAGCAGTGCAGTGGGATGTAAAACAAGCAACTTGTTTATGGTTAATGAAATGAAATTTGGCAACAACTAAATAAATTTATCAACAATTAAAAAAAAATCAGTGTAATCTCACAAGTAAGGTCTGAGACTTGGGAAGGTAGATACACTATTTCCGATAGACCCTTGGCTCAAGGAAAGATGATAAAAGAAACAGTAACACCAGCAATTAAATAAATTTAAATCAGATAGTCAAAATCTAGATTGGACCATACATTATATTTACTGGAAGAAAGATTGTGCGCCAGGTTAGATGAGGAGGTAAAACAACGCTTTTGGGAGGGGTTAGATGAGATTGTGCGCCAGGTTCCGCTTGCTGAGAAGCTATTCATAGGGGGGATTTCAATGGTCATATTAGGGTGACCGGAGGTGGTTATGGCGAAGTACATGGAGGCTTTGGTTTTAGGGAGAGGAACGGAGGAGACACCTCGTTGTTGGACTTCGCTAAAGCTTTTGGGTTGGTGATTGCAAACTCTAGGTTTCCGAAGAGGAAAGAGCATTGGTTACTTTTCAAAATGCGGTAGCGGAGACTCAGATTGATTATCTCCTCCTCAGGAGGTGTGATAGCAGGTTGTCCAAGGACTGCAAGGTGATTCCGAGCTAGACACTCACGACGCAGCATAGACTCTTGGTACTTGATGTTGGTATTAGGTTAAAGAGAAGGAAAAAGTCTGCTCGGGAAAACCCAAGAATCAGGTGGGGAGCCTTGACTAAGGATAAAGCCCAAAAGTTGGAGTGCCGGTTGTCGGCTATGGGAGCTTGGAGGAGCAGTTGGGACGCGAACACTATGTAGTCAGCGACATCAGACTGTATAAGGGAGTCTGCGAGAGAGGTGTTAAGGGTCTCGACTGGTTTCTCTGGTGCGCACAAAGGAGACTGGTGGTGGAATAAAGTGGTCCAAGGTAAAGTGGAAGCGAAGAAGGCGGCATACCTGAAGTTAGTAGGGAGCATAGGTGAGGGGGAGAGGCGGGCGTGCATGGAGAGATATAAGGTAGCTAGGAAGGAAGCTAAACTGTCGGTCACAGAGGCTAAGACTGCGACTTATGGTCGTATGTACGAGGAATTGGGGAAAAAAGGCGGGGGTAAGAAGTTATTCTGGCTAGTCAAATTGAGAGAGAGGAAGGCTCGAGATTTGGACCAAGTGAGATGCATTAAGTACGAAGATGGTAGAGTACTGGTGGAAGATGCCCAAATTAAGAGAAGATGACAGACTTACTTTCATAAGCTTCTGAATGAAAAAGGGGATCGTGATATTGTACTAGGCGTATTGAAGCATTCCGAGAGTCATCGTGACTTCGGGCACTGCAGGCATATTGAGGTCGAGGAGGTCATGGGGGCTATGCATAAGATGAGTAGGGGCAGAGCGACCAGACCAGACGAGATTCCAGTGGAATTTTGGAAGAGTGTAGGGAGAGCAGGTGTGGAGTGGTTGACTAGGTTGTTTAATGTTATTTTTAAGGCGAAAAGGATGTCAGATGAGTGGAGGTGGAGTATGGTGGTTCCACTGTATAAGAACAAAGGTGATCTCCAGAGTTGCAACAATTATAGGGGTATCAAACTACTGAGTCATACCATAAAAGTATGGGAGAGGGTGGTTGAAGCGAGGGTGAGGATGACAGTGTCTGTATCCGATAACCAGTTCGGGATCATGCCGGGTCGTTCCACCACAGAAGCTATACACCTTGTTAGGAGGTTGATGGAATTGTACAGAGAGAGAAAGAAGGATCTGCACATGGTGTTTATTGACCTGAAGAAAGTGTATGACAAGGTTCCTAGAGAAGTTCTCTGGAGATGCTTGGAGGAAAAAGGAGTGTCCATTCCTTATATTATGGCAATTAAGGACATATATGATGGGGCTAAGACTCGGGTTAGGACGGTAGGAGGCGACTCTGAGCATTTTTCGGTTGAGATGGGGTTACACCAAGGCTCTGCGCTCAGTCCATTCTTATTCGCCCTGGTGATGGATGCGATTACAAGGCCCCGTGAAAAATCATCCTCAAAACCTAGTAGCTCGTAGGGTCAAGTCCCGAATATGTGTTAGGGATGTGTAAAATTCTTCGCGGCTCGCAAGCTCGCCGCGGTTCAGACCCTTTGTACTGATTTAGCATTTAAAAATCAAAGAGTCAAAGATTTCTAGAAAAGTGCTATTATACGGTCCAAAATGCAGTCGCAAATCAAGTATGCTGACCGCATTTCTGCCGCATATGAGTTAGTGGTTTGGTTAAAATTGAGGTCAAAATGCGATGCACTATGCAACCGCATAACTGATATGCGGACTGCATTTCCATCGCAAAGTGAGTCAGTGTGTTAGTCAAATTTGAGGTCAAAAATGCAGTCCAGAATGCGGTCGCAAATCAAG